CTCTTTCTAGAAGACTCACTAGTCAGAATGCTGCTCTCATCTGCATAAAAAATTACCATCACCCTTGATTATTGTCACAAAGCTAATTATGATACCCAACTAAATATGAAAACATATATATATATATATATATATATATGATTTTACGGTGTTCTTATTTTATGGAGAAAAAGACTACTTTATCCTTATCTCAATCCATGTAAAAGGGATAATGGCCTTTATCCATTTTGAATTATTTGACCCTATAACCTCTTCTTTTTTCCCTTTTGCCCTTTGAATTAATGGCAAACTAGTATTATCAGTAAAGATAAATCGTTCATTATCGTAATGAATGTTGAATTATCTTTGTTCCTTTTATGACAATACATGCATCATTATCATAATAATGATTGCATGAATTAGTAATCCAAATTCCAATGGTGATTAGAAGTCTCAAAGTACGGATGCAAATTTGTGGTCCTTATCAAACTCATTATCCATGCAGCGAAGAGAGAGGCCAATTAGAGGAGCCGTCCTTCATGGATGGATGTAGTGGCGGAGCTAGTAGTTTCTAAGTTTTATAGTTCAATTATGCTTCGTGTTTTCTAGTTAAAGTTTAGCTAAAAGTACACAAAAGTTATTTTAGGAGCTCTTTATAAAATTTGAACTCTAATAATATTTTTTAATTTAAAGAGTCATAAATACTATAATTATTTTTTAATTCAATATAATTGGTCCATCTCTATACCAAAAAAATAAAAAATAGTTTGCATGAATTAAAGTTTAAAATATGCATAAAACAAAGCAACATTAAATCATAGGGAGCCACTAGGAGTTCTTTTTCTTTCCTCAGATTTAGGAGCTCTTAGAAGTATCCTTGTTTTAGGATGTGAATAAGGAGTATGGTTGAAGTTGTATTTTTTCACATGATGAATCGTAAGAGTGTCATATATGGACCTTCATATTAGTCGCATGATCATTTTATTAAATTTAAGTGAAGTTACTATTCAAATGAATCGTGTGACTAATATAAAGGTCAACATTTGTGATCTATATATGACACATTCACTATAAAACGACTCGAGATGATAGGGAGGGAGGAGCAAAACTTTACATGGGCCTTCTGTCTTTGTCAAGTACACATCAAAGCTACGAACCCACCAACATATCATGAACCAAAAACCCCCCACCAAAAGGCCCATAAGAGAAAGAACGGACAAAAGCTAGAAGAAGAAGAAAAAAAAAATCATCAAAATCCCGTGCTCATTTCATTATGGACCATGTGATGAGTGAACCTGCCAAAACCCACAGGAACTAAAACTAAAAGCAAAGCAATAGCTAGCTAGCCCCCTTTGAGTATTTGATAATGATATTGCTTCAAAGGGTAGGTTGGTCATTGTATGTTGCTGCTGCCCTTGTGACAATCGTCCTCCACCACTCCTTGTAAGAAAGGCAGATAAAATTGGAAGAACCACGGTGGTGGATGTAGAAATCACAACCGTATTTCATTTGGGACCAGCATAGGTGTAATTACAAGGCTAAAGCCTCACCTTTTGGTAGTTAATGATGTTTTTGGAACCCTAAAAAGGATTTCTTTTTCCACAGTCGCATTCATATTCACTTTCAAAAACATATAACGACATATCAAACTGTTTGACAATAAAATATTTCACTAGTATTATTATTATTTTTTGTTTGCGTTTACGTGACAATTGAGATCTTTCTTTGTTTGGTGAGTATATATGTACGACATACATACTCAACATATACAGTAGAAGAATTAAAACGATGCAAAAGGAGGGCCGGGGGGGTTATTTTTCTTATCATAATTTTCACTTTTCTTGGCCCTGGGGGCGTTTTGATTTGTTATATCCAATTAATCATGCATCTAGTTAGTACCGATGGCCCCATCCCACAACATCACAATCACTTGGTGCACAGGGCACTGTAAATTAAATGCACTTTTAACTTGTAAGGCAAGGGCACAACAGTCATTTCATGGGCCACTATAAACTTGTAATCTAAGGCCAAGGCTTAAGACAAACTAAATTATAAATGTGACACTCCCATCCAAAGTGTACATGGAGATGGAGCAAACACCATACACTGAGGATGACCGGAGCACCACCTCCACCTCCACCACAACCACTACCCAGAAATCTGACTCGCAACACGCCGCCACCCGCCACCCAGTGTACCGAGGCGTGCGGAAGCGACGGTGGGGCAAATGGGTGTCTGAAATTAGGGAGCCACGAAAGAAATCACGCATTTGGCTAGGGTCTTTCCCTGTGCCTGAGATGGCAGCCAAGGCCTACGACGTCGCCGCCTACTGCTTGAAAGGCCAGAAAGCGCAGCTGAATTTCCCCGAAGACGTCGAGCACTTGCCTAGGCCCTCCACGTGTACGGCTAGGGACATTCAGGCAGCAGCAGCTAAGGCAGCACATACAATGAAGTCAAATAGTACTACTCCCAAGGAAAACGATCATCATCATCATCACCATGATCATGATGGATTGGACGGTGATGATGATTTTTGGGGTGAGATTGAGCTGCCTGAGCTGATGAATAGTGGGTGCCACTGGAATTCATCATGTGGTTGGAATCCGACTGCGTCTTCAGGCGACGCAGCAGCATGGCCAGAAGGAGAGGCTCCACAACAATTTATAGGGATGGTGCTTGTCTCTGATTAAGAATTGTGTTGTGGTTGGTATGGTCCATTTATGTGTATCAATTGAGTTAGGTAGATAGCTTTGTGTGATTCACTCTATCTTGTGCTTATTTGTTGTGTAGTTCCTCAAGTTCCAATAAATCCAAGCATAAATTTGAACTTAATTACTTTCAATATGTGGATTTGCAGACGTGAATTAGGAGTTGATCCTCGCATTTTGCTTCTCCTACTCGAATTCAATCCCCCTTATTACAGTAGTTTAGTTAGACTAACGTTTAAAAAAAAAAAAAAATTATCAAAAGTAATTATCAGATATATATATATATATATATATATATGACAAACTCTTATGCATGCATCTCAGCTATTAATTAGTTGGTTTTTGATGAGTTTCAACTTTCAACGAGTTGGCTATCACAAAAAGCTTTCCATCATCACAATCATGAAGAGATTTTAAGTGATCCGTGAAGTTTGACTTAAATGAATTAAGTCATAACTTAAAGCTCATCAAATCAAATTGACATTATGGAAAAACACATGCTAATTAACGAGGAAAAGAATATTGGTCAACAAATCATAAGCATATGTTTTTTCTATACTTAGAGCACTTTCACTTCACTGGTTGCCTTTTGCTCTTGCAAAAGACAGTCCAATCTTGAATTAATGCCCACAACATCAAAGGTTAGACTGGGCAAGAACGGGCCCCATTTACCCGGGCCAGTTCAAAGGCAAGAATTGTCCGGGCTGTTGTTTTGGTTTGCTGACATCAGCGTGACATCATCGACCAATTTAAAAAGACTCCGTACAAATTCCTCTTCTCATATCTCATGTGAATAGTATTTGCCTTTACTTGTCATGACAATTGTTGAGAAAACAAAATTTAAAAGACACTATTCATGTGAATAGCGTATGCTCTTATTTGCCATTACCCTTTGCCATGACACAATGAATGTAAGTGCTCTTACCGGTCCAAATATAGAGCAGGAAGCCACTCTGTGAGTGTAAGGGCTAAGGAAAGAATTGGTCAACAAAGCATTAGGATTTTGGAAGTTGATTGAATAATTCAAGGCATGGATTGATATTGTTCTTGTTTAAATATACCAAATTTTGGATATTTTCCGAACTCACCATATAGCTTCCGTTCTAAATTAGGCCCGTAATTTTAGCTGATTGATGGTTACTTGCAGATGAGGATTTTGATCAAACACATATATATCAGGGGAAATGTTAAAGTAGGCCTCTTAAATTTGACCTTTCTTAAGAAGAAAAAAATAACTATGACCAAATTCAAACTATCAATCTAGAACACATCAAGCTCAAATTGATCATACCAACAGTTCAAGGCTGCCAATTGAATGTAACATTCATATTGGAACCTTCTTCAACTACCTAGCATTGGCTGTGATGAAGCGCCAGTGCCATGCATGCCTACTTGAGAGACAAAGACTAAAGTAGATATTTTAGGTGAAATAGAGAAGACAAAGAGAGATAAAACTAGCACTTTGAGGCCATTATCAATGCACCTGCATATGAATGCAATAAAGAAGAAGAAGAAAATACGTTATTATTGTTCGGACGTCGGTGTAAACAAATAGAAAAATAGAAACTACATGACGTCCACACAGTAATAACATCCGGACGTTTGTATATATATATATATATATATATATATACACCAATGAGGTGTCACCAGCCCTGTAAAAAGAGAACTAAAAGTCAATAATTTGATTCTTCAATTACCCTTTACTGTAAATTGCATATATGACGAGTCCAAATTTGGACCACCAAGCTTTTGTTATATCTTGCCCGCAATGTGTGCAAGCTTTGTTCTGTAGTGTCAATTTCTCTCTGGTTTTTTCTCCTTTTGGAGCTTATAATTTGAAGCTCAAATTGGGTTCATTTCCAAATTTCCAGTAAGTCTGGTCTGCTACATGTACATACACAATCCCATATCATTAAAGAGCCATGGAAGCAACAAATATTGCAGATGAGATCAAAAGGCCACTTGGGGAGATTTTTGGCATATGCATGAATTGGAACTTCGGGATTTCTCCCATGAATTATACGGGACAGTTCTTTCAGTGGTGGGACCGTTGCAGGCAGAATATCACTGTTGCATACAACTACAAAGATATTTGAAAACACCATGCACGGCTCTGAATCAAAACAAATAAAAATCACAAGTTGCTATGCAATTTGTGGAGCCGTCCTATGATAACATATGAACAACGTGTCACCAATCACCTCATCCTATTTTACTGCTGCAGCATATGACCAAAATGCAGAGATATTTGATTTAGAATTTGCATTTCTTTTTACAGCAGTGACAGTTTGACCACAGGAAACAGTAACTTTTTTTTGGCTCAACCATGAGAAACAACAATCAACCGTTGTGTTGAACCACTGTGTCTGTAAGAATCATATGCTTAGAATAGAACTGCTGTAGAATAACGCTTTAGTTTTGGCCTTATTTTAGGTATAAATTTGTGACGCAGTATTGTGATCTGTGGCTTATCCATGGTTCTCCGGTGGCCAATCCCTATTGGCCACGGTTATATAGTGGCTTTTGGTATTGCTTGCCACAGATCTTTCGTGGCCCTTTTTGATGTTGTCTAGTAGTGATTAGGCTTAAATGAAGAGATAAAAAAGAAAAAGAAATAAAATCCCAAGAACATGTTAAAACAGAAGCTGGGGTTGGGTGGGGGGAGGGGGGGATGGTACTAAATTAATCACTTTGTTCTGTTGGGTAGCTCCAGTTTGTTGTTTTGCTATTTCAGACCACAGAAGCAGATACCAAATGTAACACGTGAGAAAAAAATTCAAAGAAAGATGTGGAGGGAAATTCACTCACTAATTCAGGGGGTCTTGTCAAAGTTTCAATTCTAAGCATGGCCAGAGGGAAAAGGAAAGGTATATTGTGCCTGTCCCGTATTTTTGTTGAATAGGATAGCAGCATGTTAAGTGTTGTTACTTCATTGGTTATTAGCATTTCAATCAAGTGAAATCATTGAGATCTCTCTGTGAAGGATGCTATTGCTTAGAAGAAGCTACTGTCAATATCATTTTGATGCATCAGTAGAGGATTGTTTTCTATTTCATTTTTCAGTATTTTAAGGAGGTTTTATAGAGAGAGGAAGCGAAAGCGAAACTCTTTATCGAGAATGCAAAGAGTAAGTACTTTACCACTAAAGTTATAATCGTGTTTTCAAATAAAAATGGAAGTTAAACAATACTCTAACTCTGGAGTTACTATTTTACGGATACTCAACCCCTAAATTTTGCACAAAACCACCCAGGGTTGGCTGGCAACCTATAGTTTTCTTTTTTAGTTTTTTACCTTAGGTTTTGTGATGATAGGTACAAAATTGGAAATTTCAGAGAAGAGAAATGGAGGTAGGGTGTCTAGAGAGCACCATAGATGATTGTGTGTTCATGGAATCACTCCTCTGTCAAGTTGGCGGGCAGGAAAGATTTTTGGGTCATTTCAAAAGAGCCAAATAATGAGCCCAATCTCAGGCACGGCTTGTTTGCTTCCATGAATCCAAAGCTCAGCCACAACCACAATGTAAAGAAATTAGCCCATTCAGGAGGATCAAAAGTTATGAGCCTTGTGTAATGCCTGGATGTTATAATTAGGACCAAACCAATCTTGCAACTCAAGGGTTTTATCTAAATCCCTTAGATGAAGCCCTATCTCTTAATCGTTGAATTACACAAACTAATTTGATCCAATGATTAAGAGATAAGACCTCGTCTAAAGGTGCCCACACTATAGAATTCTACTCTTGTATATATGGTTTGTTTCAGATTTGTCAATTCAAACATGCAAAAGAAGAAGGGGTTTTGTGCATTTATTTAGGTCCATTGGGCTTTTAGGGCTGCAAAGCATAGAGAACCTTTTTAAGTGCAAGAGTTATTTTGGCATCTCTAGAAGAGATTTTAAAGTTCAAAATTCTCCTATTATGAAATAAAACAGAATCTATTTATTTATTAGTTAATTATCTAGACATATATATGATATATCTCATGAATCACAAATTCAAGATTAGTATAACCAAATGATCACTCATATGGCTTTCTAAATAGGCTTAATTGTTGATTTGACCCCGAACTTCAAGCTAATTTTCGTTTTACTTCTTATACTTTTTTTAAAAAGAAAATTAAGAATATGAACTTCTTTTTTTTGCCAATTTCCCCCTTCTTGTGTGAATTCTAAACATTTCATCCAATTTTTGTTAAATCATTTTAAAAATAATAATTTTTTTTGGAATTTGAAGAAAAAGAGGAAAGCAAATCCTTGGGACCCACTGAACC